TCCTTCCAAACTTAAATTCCCTCCTAACATAACATAGTACCAGCCAACACATATCCATCGTATATTCAATGTTGGAAGAAATTTTCTATAAACTATATTTACAAGCTCGAGGGACCATTTCTGAGCAGTTATTCGAATTTTGGCAATTAAAAACAGGGGCAAGCAAATCCTTAGGAACTTTTACCGTGTAATTTTATCAACACTACCTTGGACTTTAACGACAACGAAATATGAAATACGAACCTATTTTCGTGTTCAGTTTAAATGCTTATTTTGTATGCCTACAATTTAAAAATCGATTTTCTAAGCGGTAGAACTGTGGGTTTTGCCCAGTCTAAGATAGGTGTAGCTTTATTTGCAAAATTTTGATGAGAGATTATTGCTGTAGGTTTATCTTAATGCCTTATGGTTACGCTTTTTCTTGACCTTCGACTGCAAAACTTCTATTTTCAGAGTTTTGTTCCTTGCTTGATGGCAACGCTTCCAAATTGGCTCACAATTGCTACCAAGCCTGTTGCTGAAGATATCCATTTCCTACTAAACTGATAAGCAAACAATCTTTTGGTGGTACAAAACTTGAAAATGGCTTAGAACAAAGCAAACATTTCAGTAAACTAAAGCTTTCGTCTGACACTCTTTAGAGTTTAAAACGTCAGAACATAGATCGAAAACTCTACGCTAGGAAATATGTATACCCAGTTTTGGATCGAAAAAGGCCCATCAGAAACATGACTGTTGAGGTTGACCAATCAGTGCCGCTTGCCTATAGAGAATGTTACCAATGGAGTCCTAAGGTGAAAACGAACTCCTTTTGTCTACTTAAAAGCGGTTTTTTCATGTTTATGCAGATAGATTCCCAAACTGCTAGATGGAACGACGATCGGGCTTTACCAATAATCCGAAACATGTCGCCTTTATAGTTTTTTGCACAATCTGGGTTTTCCAATAAAATCTGCCTGATAGCAGAATCGCAGGTTCTAGTTGTATTTTTAGATCTGCAAGACCGAGGTGGCTGTTCTCTTTGGGGACGAGTTTTGTTTGTAATACTAGACGGAACATGTTGTTTTATTCTTTCTCCCAATCTTTGGGTAGTGCGTCCTACGTAGCCAGAAGTTTAAATCATAAAAGACAAGCCCATTGATCATTTAAAGCGTTGGGGACATTCTGGCAAATGATCGGAAGTCATGTTTCCGGGAGGGTTTAAACGGAAGCAACTTATTTGACAAAACGAAAACTTTCAACAGCCATAACTTTTTGCTTATAGTTCACATTAATGTTAGGTTTTTTAACTCAGTTTTGCAAGCTCTTTTCGATAATGTAGTCAGATTTTTTAAAAAATCAAAGCTCGAAACTTTGCTGAACATGCATTTTTCTATCCTGGTTAGAATTTTTCACGCAGCCAGAAAATTGACTTCCGTTAATTTGCCAAAATGATCCCTAGACTTAAAATGATCAGTGTCCTTTACTTTTCCGATTTAAACTTTACAAAATTCGGTCAGGCAGGCTGCTAGATGGTTATGTAAAAATCCTTGTCTACAATGAAAGTTTACAATGAAAAACTTCTAACTACAAGTTCGACATACCAGCACTAGCTAAAATGCTTCTTTCAAAGTTCTAGTTGCATTGCTTAGAAAACTTCATTTTTCTAAGGCAATTGGAAGTTTGTTATAAAGCCTTCCCAACATACTCTGTTTTGATTCCAGAAAGCCTTACCAAATATTGATTATTTATTATTGTCTTTGCAATTAAAAAAACCTGGCAAGTTCTCATAGACAGCATTGACTTAAAGTTCTGACGACAATGCTTATAAAAAGATTGATATATTTCTATGCAATGAAACAAGATCTTAATCCTCCCTAAGCATCCAAGTTTTATAAATACTTGAATAATTATAATTTATTGTGGTGTAACGTTTGAACATTTGATGACGCATAAAATTGGAAAATTTGATCGCAGCTCTTTTCTCTAACTTTCACTCAAGGTTGTATTATATGATGAAACTAATCAAGTGAATGGCTGCTGCATTTCTAAATGAGGAGCTATTCATTTGATAAAGCAGTTGGTAGGGAACTGCTAGTTGTGAAAGTTAACATGAAATAACGTGATGAAATAATGTGTTTGAAAATTATCAAAAGTTGACCTAGACAACCCAGGCAATGTTGAAAATTATTTTAATTCAACTATTAGAAATTTCCAACTTCCTTGGTGTGCTGTTTCTGCTTCGTGTCAAGCGATTCTCAGTCAGAACTTTTTCACTGCAGCAGCGAATTCCACTGAGATGTACAGGAGAACTAAATTTTAAAAAACAACCTAACTGTGCCAACTGTGCCAACAACATTATATTTTGGCACAGACTAGTTTCAGCAGGAAAATTCTCTATGGTCCATTTATGGCAAATATGAAGATATTGACGATCAGGCCTGTTCTTTTGACCCAAGCAACCACACGCACAAACCCGCTCGTGGAAAATGAAAAATTTTGAGAAATAAATGCCTCATCAACTAACACATTTCTAGTCATCTTTCTGGCCTGGCCCGGAAAGGCGTGTTTAATAAACTTGATCAAACATAAACAATCTTCCCAACATACCGCAATATTATGATCTGCGTAAGATTACCCTTTGGGAAAAATTCAGCGAGTTCAAGGTTGGGTTTTTTTATACCATTCTTAATCTAATAACCCTCTTATAACCACCAAGAAGACAGGCCATCAAGCGTATTCTCCGGCAGATTTATTTGATTTTTGAACAAGCGTTAATCTTCTGTTGAAGTATTATTTTCTGTTTTTTCTTAATAATTTAAAATCACCTTTGCAAATCAGACCCAAGCAGGTGACATTGAGGATACAAAGCCGATAAATCAAAACATATGAAATATAAGTAGGCTGAATTAGCCACATCTCAATGGAAAAATCATTTGAAAATCAATTCCATCATGAATGTTAGGAATACTATAAGCACTTAGTATTTGAACTACATTTGCACTTAAACATTCTTCTGAGCAGTGGAAGCGTTTTTAAAAAGGATTGGGAACAACATTTTGCGACCATCTGAAAATAATGTCTATATGACCTTCGCAATGAAGATAAAATTTATAAACCAAGCACATTCATTTCGGCTATTTAATATTTCTTGGAGTGCCTTAAAGGTCATCGTAACAGTCTGTTTTCATTTGATATTTACCCTAAACAAAAGTATCTTATAACAGGATCATACAGCTTTTATAAACATTATGGACACTTTTAGCATTGCTGATTACGATTATCGTTTTTAGAATGATTGCTGGCACAAGAGAAATCATGCGAGCGCTTGGCCACTCACGTGGGTTATCTTTACCAAAAGGCATCAACAATGCTAATTTTAAAAAGAGATTGGCTTTGATTTGGTATTCTTAAAAATCAAGTTGGTCAAGTTAAGGCAACATGCATATGGATATGTTTCATTCATACTGGCCAGCTTTTTAATCTTATTTGCCAGATAGCCACTGCTCTACCTTATTGTTTCCATTTTACAATCATTTTTCTATTGTTTTTTCACCCTTCAATGATGGAGACTCAATGCTAGAAAATTAGCAACATTGTTTGTGCCATCATCAATGATATTTCAAGCCAACTCTTGGGGTTGTGTTTTTTCAAAAGTGAACAAAATACTGAATAATTTGTCAGATTTCAGGTGATTGGCCCTGACTGGCTTTTAGACCTCCTTATATTGTGGAGGTGAATCCTGCACTGTCATTCTATACGAAAAAACAAAGGGGATGTTTCCTTAGTTGCTTTCTAGCCTGGGTGTTAAAAGTGGCATAGTCTGCAGAAGAAGTAAAAATTAATTACAGCATTTTAAGCAATTAAACATCATAACCCAATAACAACATTACAAGTGTCTCAACCATTAAAAGTACAACTTCTTATTGGAAAAGATAACTCATAATGGTGCAAGGCAATCTTTACCTTTACACACACGCTACTGTCCATAAACATGCAAATGTTTTTGCATAAAAAAAAGACAGATTAGATTTATATATTTCCTACTTGTTTCAACCACAAATGGAATTAATGTAAAATAACTTCAAAACATTTTGCACAATAACTGCAAAATTTCACTGGATTGAAAGTTTAAATCTAGATAGTCTCAAAATGAGAATCAACATGTAATTGAAGGGATCTGCAAGAAACAGCGCATTGGTGTTTCTTTACACATTTAGTGAGCAAAAATACTGCACAGGTTTGACCAAGGAGTAATGGCTGCCACATTGTGAACAACATGGCAATCAAATTTGAGAATCATTTTGAGAATCACTTTTGTGAGGCCATTAGGCATCTTTTAACTGTTAAAATTCAATCAAACCAAACTTCAGAGAGTTGGCAACACTTTTAACTTAAAAAAATGAAAAAAGTTTCTTGTTAAAAAGTAATATGTTTTAGCTTTTCTATAGGACAGTATTGCAGCTTTGAATCCTTTGTGAGACTAATGGCTAAAAATTTTTAAAAAGTTTTGAAGCAAATTCTGTTAGGCACTGATAGATTCAGAAAACATTTCCAAAATCACATTTAGGTGTTAGATTACCAAGTTGATCATTATTGGCCTTTTACTTGGTGGAAAGTGGCACATTTTAAGAAACTTATATGAAACTCAATTAGAATTTTAGGTAACTAAAAAATTTTGCTGCAGTGCTTCTATTTCAGCTTGTGCAATACTTTTGCTCACTAAGTGTAGTAAATAGTATTTGGACATCTGATTAATAGTATCATTAGAATATCCCAACATTCCAAAAAATATAAACAAGACACGATTAAAAGCGTGTTAATATGCTCTTGAGACGAAAAGAAAGCACCATAATATGCTCGTGAAACGGGGCTATTCTACCGATAAATTCATTATTAAAATGGAGAGTTTTGCATTGCATTAGAATTTTTAAGTCCACCAAATTAAAGAAGAGAAGAATATGCTCCTTAGGTTGTCTGTGCATAACTACAGAAAAGAATTGAATACATTTAGTTGGTACCTTCAGCTGTTTTCCCAACTTCCAAATCCATGATGATACCTTCTATCATGAGGATGGATGTTTGATTTTCATGCGTGCCTATCTCCTGTTCCCATCGAAGTTTGCCCCGTTGAGTTGAATTTAATTCCGACAGCAACAACGAAGAGATTCGAGGGGTTGTTGTAAGTTGTTCGATTTTTTTCTTTTCATGCAGAACTTTGCAATCGTAAGGAAAACTTTAGAAGACAATAAAAATGAAAAAATAAAAATTTGAGAAAGAACAGAAAGGGGTGCTGCAGCTGTATTTCGGCATTTTGTATTTAGAACTCGTCGGTAGAATCAAATTTATAATAAAATGTTAATGTAACAAAAGAATTTATTACACTTACATGACTTGTCAAGAATATTCTCCGTTCTAGATCGACCGATGAAACATAGGTAGCGCCAGGTGGAGAGCTTGGGGCTTCAGCCCCCCCCCCCCCCACTTTTTTGCAGAAGTGTATTTTTAAGCAAATAAAAAGAATAAAGGAAAAAGTATAAAGAAAAAAATAATCCGACAAACTTAGTTGCTTAATTTCCAAGGAAAACGCCGAGGTCTATGGGGCCTCATAAAGTAATGAAATCAATTTTAAGACTGAATTAATCAAACGTGATAAGAGCATGCCTTATAATAACAAAATGTTTTAAACGATTGCAAGAAAATACCCGCAAGAAATATTCTGAAATGTATTGCAAGCTAATCTAAAAAGCGTGGTCGTGAAAATTGTCTGCTCGCAGGGAAGCGAAGCGCCATGACCACATGCGTGAAAAGACCTCAACGAATTTTTCCATTTGTCGATAAAACTTTCCTTACAGTGTCTTCTGACTCGATAAAAAAATATTAAGGGACCGGGAAAAAGTGTACTAATTGGCGGGCGTCCTACTTATCCGGGGTCCTGGTTAAGCGAAGTTTTTATGCTTGAAAAGAGTAAGCAAGTTCAAGGGACCAGGAAAATCTGTACTACATAGCGGGCGTCCTACTTACCCGGGGTCCCACTTGACGAAAGTAAACTGCATATATGAATATATAAAGCGATAACTCGAGTGCTTTCACAAATCACTCGGCTTGAATATTATCAGCGCTATCTTACCTGATCAAACCATGACTGTTCTATCTGTGTACGATACAATCTCCTTATAAAAATCTTCTAACAACAGTGGCTTCTGTCGTAGATCATAGGCGGCATTTTACCTGAATGCAAAGATAAGTAAGTAGAAGGTGATAAATGTACCGGGGTACGCGGGGAATCTATGTCGGGTATTTAGAATATAAAACATCTTCAGTTACCGCAAAACATAAAAGCCTATCATGCGACTAACTATGTCCTAACGCTGAGAAGATCATAAACGAATATAAAGCACGAAGTACCTTTGTAACATAAAGTACGAAGTACATTACAACTAGCAATAACAGATGGTGTTTAAACACGAAAACTAGCATAAATTGGCAGTGGCACAGAGAAGCATGGAAAGAGTGATGGTTACCATCAAATACCTGGACAAGATGCCAAATTAAAGGTTCAAGCTCACACATCAAGGCTGTTGAAGTTATAGAAAAATCTGAAAAATATACGTGAAAGTAGGCAGGCTTTTTAGCCCAAATGAAAGCAAGAAACTGGAAAAAGAAGAACACTAAGTTGATTTTGAATTCTATGAAAATAAGATGGCAAGGACCTAAAAAGAGATGAACAGGTGATCTCCAGAACATCGCATAGATTGCTTGGATGAGGGTAGCACAGAGTAGAAAGAATCTAGGAGACGCAGTGGGTCTATAGTACCCTGAACAGCGAACAGCTTATGGTGATGACGATGCCGTAGTATAGGATGCTTATTCTTTGAAAGCATATAACTATAAAAATTCTATACGAATACACATTTTGATAGCTTAATCTTCAGTGCAAAGATACATTTAAAAGCACAAAATATCTATTAATCTTGAGGAAAACTAACAAAATGCTGTTTTTGCTTTTAACTTTTGCGTTATCCTTCCTAAAATTAAACATTTCAACATTCAATTTCATTTCCTTACATTTTCTTTTATCAGGGATCTTTTCGAATGTTTTTCAGACAACCAGAGATCTTTTCACCCAGAAAAGGCAATTTTTCGAAAATGATGCATATTTTTTAGACCTCTCAGGATCTATCTTGCTGATTCTTTTTAAACTTTGTATTCCAGAGAAAACACTGAAGAAAAAGTCATTTGAGCTTTTCACATGTCATATTATTCAGCAAATCACAGCTGGGTTCGCACAACCACCCCCAGTTGCACGCACGCACTAACAAAACCCCAACGTTCTATATATATACTGTAAACTAATTAATCCAAAATAAACTACCAATGACGATGCTCTATTCAATTTACGTCAGTTGGCTCAAACGAAAGTGTAATTATTATAATCGAAGCAATTAGAAAATATGGTAAACAGAAAAGCTGCGTCACCAAGTCACAAGATACATTTTAAGGCTTAATTACACTAAACCAAACCTTAATCGACTACGCAATGAAAATTTACGTGAAAACCCGAACACACTCCCCTCCTTGACTCGTTAAGAGTCAAGCATCAAACGGGTTTTCCACTGCGAATCCTGACCTGCTGCGCGTTTAGATTTCCTACGCTGGGGTTCTACGACGCGATTAGGACAAATTGGAATAGGTGAAAATTCACAAGCATTCTGTTCCCGTACTTCGTTCTCTTTCCTCTCGATGTCCGTACTTTTTCCTGCGATTTCATTCATTCTTGCAAGTTCAAAAGGAAAAAGTTTTTGCAAAGGTCGAGATAAAATTTCTGACTTACCACTACCACATACTTTTACCTTTGCACCCCGAACAACACCGTCTTTCCCTTGCACAAGTTCCACGATTTTCCCCATTTTCCATGAATTTCTTTTGACGTGTTCCTCTTGTACCAATACTATATCCCCGACGGACACAATTATTTCTCCATTCCTGTTATTTCTATGAAATTCCCTGAGTTCTGTTAAATATTCCCTTCTCCAGCGTCCTGCAAAATGACTTAATTTTTTGATTAAATAGCAAAAATCGCTTAGAGTATGCTGATGAACTCTCCTCTAGTTCTAAATCGTTGATATCTAAATCATCAGCTAATTGCGACAATCTATGACCGTACATAAGATGAAACGGAGTAAGTGGGTAAACTTCAACTTCATCATAAATATACGTTAAGGGGCGCGAATTAAGTGTCGCCTCAACTTCTAACAGCACGGTATGCAACTCATCAAATGTTAGCTTGGCATTTCCAAGCACCTTTCTTAAACACCTCTTTACACTTCCGACCAATTTCTCAAAATAACCTCCCCACCAGGGACTTCTTTCCAAGTTGAAACGCCATGTTATTTTCTTTTCAACCAAATATGATGAAACTTCACGACTATTTCCCAGCTTATCTAGAAACTTATTAGTAAACTTGAAAGTTTTAGCGTTGTCTGAATTAATCAACGAAGGCGTACCACGACGAGATGTAAAACGCCTAAGACTCCTTATAAAGGTCGGTCCTGACATATCTTCAACGAGGTCAAGATGTATTGCCCTTGATGTAGCACAGGTGTAAAGTGCAATATAGCATTTTTCCATCTTGCCTATTTTGCTTTTATAAAACAATGGTCCAGCAAAATCTATACCTATGTAGGTAAATGGTGGTACTTCCTTGACACGAAATTCAGGTAAAGGTGCGACTGATGGTACACCGTACGATTTACCTTGTACCTTTTTGCACTTTCTGCAATCCCTCAATATCTTTTTTACATACTGCCTTCCTTTTGTTGTCCAAAATCTAGACCTATATTCCGTGAGCGTTGCGTTCAGACCTTCATGCATTACCCTTTCATGGCAATCCTCAATAACCAAACGCGTAAACCAATTATTATTCGGTAGAATAATCGGAAACTTAGTTTCTAGTGCTAAATCTGAGTTTTCCAAGCGGCCCTTGCACTTTAAAATGCCATCTTCTTCGAAGAGTCCCAATTTCAATGCAATCTCATTATACCCTGGTTGTTTCTTAAGGTCAATTTGTGAGCCCTTAATCCAAATCCTTTCTGCCCTTGAAACTTCCTCCGAATCTAATTCCCCTAATTTCAATATCTTACCTTCCCTTGCAGACCTTAAGTTAGTGACGAAACGGATCACTCTTGCTGTAACCCTCAATAATTTCTTCAAAGAGCTAAATTTATCCACCTCTATTATTTCAGTCACACTTAGTCTGTTTTGTTCTATTACTGCTGTAACATTTACAGTTTTCCTTTTTTCCTCCATAATCTCTGGTGAATCCTCAAAAGTGAAACTTTTAGGCCAATATTCCTTCCCCATGGACAACCAATGAGGACCTTCCCACCAAAGTCTGCTATCTCTTAAAATTGTTGCAGAGACTCCCCTAGAACCCAAATCTGCTGGATTACAAACTCCAATACAATGTCCCCAGTCTTCCTTTTTAGAAATTTTCAGAATCTCACTGACCCTATGTTGTACAAATTGCCTCCATTCACCTTGATTATTTATCCAGTATAATGCTGTCTTACTGTCTAACCAGTACCTACAACCGTCTATTTTAATTTGTGGGCTTAACGCATTATACACAGTCTCCATAAGTGTAGATAAAATACGACCTGACATAAGTTCTAACCTTGGAATGCTTAATTCCTTAAGCGGAGCAACCCTTGTCTTAGCACAAATCAATCTTGAATGCATTCCAGTATCAGTCTCGCATACTAAATAAACCATTGCACAGTAAGCCTTCTTACTGGCATCTGCAAACCCATGTAAATAACACTTATTTACCTTATCTGTACTTTTTTCATATAAACATCTTGGTAAGGAAATAACACCCACTGAACTTAAATCACATACAAATTTATTCCATTTATTGAGCATTTCTACTGGTACTTCATCATCCCATCCTAACTTCAAGGTGCATAATTCCTGAAACAAAACCTTTGCACTTACAATAATTGGACTCACAAGTCCTAAAGGGTCAAAAAGTTTGGAAATCATGCTTAAGATGGTTCTCTTAGTAACAGGTGAATTTGGAACACTGTTCTCTATTTTTGTCAACTCAAATTCCAAATTATCCTTCAACATATCCCATGTTATTCCCAAAACTTTACTCTTAGTGTCTGAAATTTCTTCCCCTAGCATTTCCTTTACATAGCTACATTCACCCCCTCCATCTGCAGGATGTTTCCCAGTTTCTTCCATAACCTTGAAATATTGAGCAAGTTGTGGATCATTACTCTTCCATTTCCTTAAGTTAAATCCTGCCTCTAACATTCTTTTCTTTGCCTTATTGTAGAGTTCTTTACCACTTTCTACATCATAACATCCTAACACTAGGTCATCTACATAGAAACTTCTAGACAATTTTGCTGAGAACTCTGGATCAGCTGTTTCATAAGTGCTTAAATGATGTCTTACAACAGCATTCAACAAAAAAGGAGAACTATTTACTCCGAAAACAACACGATTAAAGCGGTAAACTTTAATGTTTGGTTCACTATCACAAGAACTATCAACCCATAAGAACCTCAAGCAATCTCTATCCTTTTTATCCACTTCAATATTCAAAAATGCCTTTTCGATATCAGATGTTATTGCAATCTTATTTTCTCTGAATCTTATCATGATATCAAACAAAAGTGGATTTAATGGTGGTCCAACATGTAAACACTCATTTAGAGAGGTACCTGACTTCCTATCTTTTGCGGAGGCATCATATACTATTCTTACCTTTGTTGTTTCTGCATCATTTCGTACAACGGCATGGTGTGGCAGATAACTAAGCTTCTCACTTGGCTCAAGACTTGTAACCTCTTCAATGATTCTATCCTTTTCTTGTTGCTTTATAATCCCATCATAGGTTTCCATTATTGCAGGCTTCTCCTTGAGCTTTTTCAACTGCCCCTTCAATCTGTTGAGACTAAGAGTATAATTAGTAGAAAGGGGCTTTTGCCCCATTTTCCAAGGCAAACGAACAGAGTATCTATCTCCTTTAAACTCTATATTATCCAAAAATTCTTCGTGCACCTTATCTTGCCTTTTAATTCCTAAAGTCTCAAGATCCCACAGTTTTTTAATGTCTTGTTCTAATTCCTGTTCCTTATTCTGGTGCATCAAATTAACTGTTATACCATTACCATTTACAACCAAATTTGAAGAACAAGATTCTGCCAAATCAGTTAACTTACCCTTTATTGGCCCTGACACAACCCATCCAATCTTAGTATGAATGGCAACAGGCTCTCCTGGCTCCCCTCGTATTATACGACCATCTTGAAGCGTCCAAAGCCAATCGCTTCCAACTAAAATGTCTATAATAAGGGAATCTTCGTGCCTACAAACATCTGAAAACCACAAGTTAGTAAGATGCTTATAATCATACTTCAATATTTCAACATGTTCATTGCGTATTTCTGAAACTTCATTAACAACAAAGGCCTGTATTTTCACTTTCCCTCCACTTTCAACTCCTTTTAACTCTAATTCGACCACATCTCTTATCTTCTCGCTCATATTTTGAGATCCAAATGTCTTTATACCTAAGCGCACTTGCTTAATGGGGTTCAAACCAAGTTTTTCTACCATACTTCGTGTTACAAAACTCCTCTGACTACCTGAGTCAAAAAGAACACGTGCCTTAACATCCCTTATGTTACCTGTAACTATGGCCTTGGCGGTTTGCAAGACTGCTCTCCCCCCAGAATCTATATTACTTACACAAGAAGTGGTAACAGTAGTATCAGCAGTCTTGACACGAGCTTGGTTAGCACTAGGCTGACTACCAACAACATTACAAATTGCAACATGGTGTCGTTTGTTACACAACTTACATTTTTCCTTCGAATGACACTGATAAGCTCTGTGTCCCTTTTTTAAACACAAAAGACAACGTCCATATTTAAAAACAAGATCCTTCCTTTCTTCCTTGTTCCTGACGTTGTGACAATCGGCTTCTTCGTGATCTTCTTTACAAAATACACAGAACTTTCTTCTCACAAACCCACCATCTTGTTTCGTGAACAACGCACTCGCTGTTGTTGTTCGACCAGGAAACCTCGGTTTCATCTCACTTCGCCGTTCTGATGACGTCCTACCAGAAACGGTCCCATTTCCCAAAGCCATTGAAATCGAAACATGCTGTTCACGAATCTCCAATTCTTCTCGAAAAGCCACAAGCATTTCTTCCATATCCCATTCTTGGTGATTCTTACTTCCTCGAATCATATACAGGCGAACAGCCTCTGGAACCTTGTCCATTAAAACAGGTACAACTATGTTCGAGTATGATGTTTCGTCGACCCCTAGGGCTTTCAATCCACGATGGTGTGTCTCAATAGTATCATAAAGTTCTCGCATCTTCTTAACATGTTTTTCATTAAAAACCGCATCTAAATTCAGAAGCTCGTTGATATGTGCCCTTTTTATCGTCGTTGGTCGCGCGAATCTCTGTTCAAGCAAATCGACAGCTACGTCATAATTTTTTTCAGTCAAAGCAAGTCCAGCAATTACTTTTTTGGCAGGTTCTTCCAAATAGTGCTTCAAATACGAAAACTTGTCAATCTTTGAAATCTCTTCGTTTTCGTAAACCGCACTTTTATAACTATCCCAGAACTCCTGCCAATCTTGGGGGCGGCCACTAAATTTTTTCAGTTCCAACTTCGGTAGCTTCGCACGAACTTTACGAGTTGCTGACGACGCTGAACTTTCTACAGAATAAACTGATTCTTCTGAGCCATGTCTTGTTAAATTAGGCTTCCGCGATTCCAACTGCTTCTCATTCTTCACTAAACTCTTCAACTTGAGCAGCGCTAGATTTATTTTTTCCTTCATCTCTCCAGCCTCAGAAATTTCTTGTAAGCATCCCAAACCATCTTCATCAATTTCGCTTACAAGATCCAAAATTTCGTCATCCAATTTTCCTAAGACTTCAAATTTCTCATCTAGCTGTATCTTAAGCTGCTTCAACTTCAATTGATCTTCCAGACTATCTTCAATCTGTCTGATCAACTGCGTTGCAAAAGCTCTATGTCCTCTTCTGATGTTTCTCTTCTTCTTCAGTTCATCCATAG